AGAATATTCGCGAACATAATGGAGTACATACGTGCGATAAGAGGCTTCCGAAGAGTATATTGGCATCTGCGTTTCCAAATTTCGATTTCCTCGAGCCGATGGAGGAGGAAGATGTTCTTTGGGATCCGGATCATCGGGAGAGCGAAGAGGAGTTGGTGGCGAGGATAGCGAAAGGGTTCGAACAGGTCGTTGAGCAAAGTGGTACATCGCGGTGTGCGTATTCAATTCGGCGTGTTATTTGACTTCACTGAGCGATGATTTCCTTGCAGATATCTCGGTTACAGCACACTCTGGGGCTATCCGAGCTATGCTATATGTTCTCGGACATCCGCCAGTAGCGCTACCGACAGGAGGTACTGCTCGTTTCATTATCCATCTCGTTTTCTGAGTTCATTTTTGCAGGTGTCATTCCCGTCGTCGTTAGGATTACAACCAAATCCTAAGCTTTGAGCCTTCTTGATATTGGTCAGAATTTTATGGACTCGGATTCGAACGGAGAGATCAAATCTGTCTTGTAGATGAAGTTTAGAGGAACACACGGATTGTTCTAGAAATGTGTATTATTCGGTGAATATAATGATCTTGGTCAAGCAGATGTTGGTATATATAATATATAACTCTGCGTCGCAAATAATCGGCTCGGGAAGAAACTATGATATGAAAGGAGTAGGGTCACGTCTTGTCCAAGTTGTAGAATCCGCATCATCCGAAACATCGACGGCTCATTGGTGAAGTGTCCCTATCGTTTGGTGGAGGCGGTAGTTACGCGAAGGGAGCGTCATTTCTGGTTAAATCTCGAGTATGCCGGAATCGTCATCGCTTTCATGAGAACCGCATATTACATCGCCGAACAAAATACAGAGGTAGAATCGTGATCCGACTATAAAGAAAATGGAGCACACAGGGTGTCGAAAATGGCCGAAACGAGTTACTAATTGCGTTTCAGGTATTCATCGATATTGCGCTTCACCCTGTCATCGTGTTTGCTGAGAATATGGACGGTCTCATCCCATAGTCTATGCTGAATTTGGTGCCCCTCCGGTGAAATGATGAAATCGCTCTCTTCTTCGACTTGACATTTGTTGAGGTATTTGCCTTGCATTTCGGCTTGAGTTCCTCCTAAAGCAGCGTGGACGAGGGTTCGTGATCCGACTTCGGTGGTGCGCGCGAGGATACCCTTTAGGATAGAGACGAAAACGGCAAGTACACCTTCGATCTCTCGGGTGAGCTGTATCAATGTCGACATTGAGCACATGATGACCAGATAAGTCTAAAAAGTACCTTTGAATGACATAGACCAGGGTTTACCGCGTCGACAGTGATCTTGGTATCCGCAGGCAATCGTTCAGCCAAAGCTTTTACGAAGAAAACATTGAAAGCTGAGATGAATTTGAGATACAATTGGCAATTGAAAGAGAGGAAGTTCGCACACCTTTCGTAACATGGTATCTTTCGCGCATAACACTGCTAGTACAGTACTTCTCGTCACTCAGTTTATCGATGATATTCGGGCTGTCGGCTTCTTTGATGGACTTGACCATATAATGTAGCTCGGAGGAGACGACGACGACACGAGATTCGGTTCTGGATAGCCAGGGGAGGAGGAGGAGACCCAAAAACGCAGTCCCAAGATGATTGGTTTGAAGCCTGAGAAGGAAGAATGAGGTTCAAAGGAATCTGGCGATAGAGAGTGAGTTACGTACGTAGACTCGTAACCATCCTTAGACTGTCGATATACCCCGGTGTTGATACCTGCGTTCTCGACGAGTATATCGATCTTTCCACCACCTTCTTTCTCGAAACGAGTTGCGAAGTCCGATACTGATTGGAAAGAAGTCAAATCCAGAGCCCACCATTCGACCGATTTGCATGCGGTGGTTCGTTCGATATCTAGCTCAATTGTCAGGAAAGAAAAGAATTGACATGCAGAGACAGACCTTTCACGGCCTCCTCGGATGATTGTCGGGACCGACAGGCGAGTATCAGACGTCCTGGATTCATAGAGGCAAAATGGCGAGCGGCTGATGAAAAATGAGAAGCAGAATCACGGTAAGACTCAGGAGCCGCACCTTCAAGACCCAAACCAACATTTGCGCCCGTGACTATGACCGTCTTTCCTGTGAGGTCTTTTTGAAATGCCTTGATGGACGGTAGCGTGGTGTATTGATCCTTTATGAAGCCTAGAAAATATTATAATCAGTTTCGCAACAAGTTGCGCGAGTTGGCGTTAACTGACTGAAGACACTGAAACGTCCCATGTTTGAGAGAGCAGAAGGTCAGAAGAAAAGG